CAATTGTATTTCATTTTGCACTATATCATGAGAGACTCTTAATCATTCCGACCACTTAATATATATCAACACATATAATATAATTTAATTGGATGTTGAAAAAAATAATATATATCTTTTATTACAAATGAAAAATCATAGTAAAATGACTAAAATGTCCCTACGAGTTAAATGAGCTAACATGTTTTCTTTAACGGGTTAAGGAAAATAAACCAAAAATGTTGACAAATTATTTCATTTTAGGGACTTGTTGAACCTAAATTAAATTATAATAAAAAATTTAATTAAAAAATTACACAAAAAATAAGAAATTTTAAATATTTAATTTAATACTAATATCGATATATTTTTGTCAAATATGATATCTTTAAATTTATATTTTATTTAAAATAAAAAACATCATTGTTTTTTCAAAGTCACATAAGACCATATTATAAAATCGACTGAGATAAAGAATCAAATAAAATATTAAAATCAATATTTACCTCGCTGCATTCCACGAATACCCTTCTAGTTTATACAAATTCTTTTCCCTATACATTGTGTTTTGGCCAAATGTTTTGTTGTTGTTTTCTTAATGTCTTATCCACATTTATTAAATTTAATCTTATGTTTGAGTTATTAGTATTGTTTTGAAATAACAAAATCTGTATATATTAAAGGAAGAATCAAAGAGTTGTTCAATGAGAATTTTTTTATTTTATTTATCTTTTTTTTTTCATTATTTTGATTTATTTTTAATATACAATCAACACATTAATTGTTAACCCTTTCATTTTCTTATTTTTTTTAACTTTATTTTCATTATTTTATGAATATATAAAACTACAATTAATTTTATTTACATCAGTACATACATATTTTTTATTACATGATAATTATAAAAATAAATCATCAAAATTAAAGATAAGTGAAAAACTATATAGAAAAACAAGTGGGAGAGGCATGATTCGAACCTATATAGAAAAACTTCAACAGATTTACAATTTGTCATTTTTGACCACTCTCTCCTTCCCAAGCCAAGCCCTTCCCTCCATTTAAAAATAAATGTTCCCAAGATTTTTTAATCTTGAGCGGGATACTCGATGAAGGTTAGATTAGAGGGTTGAGTTCCGGTGATAAAGAGAGTTAAGGTGAGAAGCGTAAGAATGGATCTCCACCCTTTGATGCACATTAGGATGAGATGTACCGAGATGCATCCGAAAAGTTTTTTGTAAAACCTAAGGATAGTGAGGTGACACCATGAGAATTGAGTATTCTAATATGATAAATTTGTGGTTGAGTTTTAATTGTCTCAAATTGGTAAAGAGTTAAAAGATTTGAACAAAGTGACGTCCATAAAAAGATGGATGGTGTCTTTGTGTCAATTTATGGGGTTTTCCTCATTGGTTGTCTTATTTTGGATAACCCTCTTTGAAATCTATAACCATGGTTGGAATCAAAACCAATCAAATGGTAAAAATTATAAAATACAAAATTAAAAGTGAAACCAAGGATGATGACTTGGCAACATGAGATTTTATTGTTTCTCAAATCTGAAATAAAGTTGACTTTCATCATTTCACATTGATAGAAAGATGATAGTTTGGAAGAAGATAATGGATGTATAAAAACGTGATGGAACTTTGAAATCTATAAGAAGATGATGGATATATAAAAGCATGATGGAGCTTTGAAATCTATAAGAAGATGATAGATGTATAAAAGCGTGATGGAGCTTGAAAATCTATAACAATGGTTGAAATAAAAACCAACCAATTGGTAATTTTTTTTGTGCAAACGATACATTTTTTTCTTAACAGGAGTTATGATTATTGTAGTACTTATAATAACAAATGTAGTTCAAGTATCTATTATATCACTTATATATACATAGAATGAAAGTGTGTGACTTAATGACGTGCTTTCATCTGATGTTAGTATCCTCCAAATCATGATTTACGGTGTCGGATGGGACGTTATAAATATAAAAACAATCCAGAGTTTTCAGACACATTACACTTCCGCTCAAGTCGAGACTTTGACTTTTTTTTCTTAAATTGAGTTTTGATCACCGCGCTATGCGCGGTGTCAAAAACTAGTTTTTATAATATGTTGTTGATGGTAGCGCGTTCCCCCGCGGTGCGGTAAGGCATCACCTTGTTGTGCCAGCCGGTCCCATGGGGAGAGTTTTATATTTGCATTTCGGAAAAGAAAGGAGAAAGGACTTTTAAAGCTTGCTGACTAGGGTTAAAATCGTAATTTATGTCTTTCAGACTTTTATTTTGTACAAAAACAAACAATAATTATTTAAATCACTATAACTGGCTTAATACATATCCGGTTTAATGAACATTGAGATGCATATCATATCATGCTAGTCAAAATTCTTTTTTCCATCTAGAACTAAACATCTGGAATGAGTTTTGACAGATGATCGCCTCTTACCCTCTTACCGGGAAAGCAACGTTTACCCTGTAAGCAGTGAGTTGTTTACCATACACTCTGACCGACAAATGATACTGATCGAGATATTGTCTTGGTAAGGAAGGAAAGACTCTCGTACTCAGTCAACAATTATTTACACCGAATCTCTTACCCGACTACCAACTTTTTGTTTGTAAACGACCACTAAATGAGTCGAACTTTGTTGGAGAAGTGGCTAGCGGCTGCAATCATGGCTGCCTCTGGCCCAGAAGGCGTGGGTGTAGCTGCTGAGTCTTTGGCACTTTTACCTTCCTTGGGTACGACAGAAAAGCACCCAAACATTGATTTGCTTATGGATGAGAACAAATTTATGGACTTCTTGTCTTTGCTACCCATCTCGATTCTCCGGGGAAGATTTTCTCAGATTTTTAATAATTTAGCTGTGTTGATGAACGATATATCAGTAACCCGTGTTTATTATATATAAGCATTCTTTTCTTGGTCATCAATCAAAGGAAACACCCAAGAAACTATACTTGACTAAAGTGATGTTTATTTGTTTTTTTGCTGTTAAGTTTGAAATTTGACCAACTTTTTTCCCTTCTCTGCAAGCAAAAAACAGTGGATGTTTCATTGAGTGAATTACATCTTTGCCCCCTGTGGGTTGGCCAGAATTGATTTCTAAGAAGTAAAAATATTTCTAAATCTTTAAAATTTCTATTTTAGTATATCTGTTGGAAATATCTAGGAATGACAACGGGCCGGATATTGATATCCCCGTCTTCGAAACCGATAGCTAAAATCGTCCTTGTAACCGTCCCGATCCCCGTCGAGGATCTTATCGGGGATCCCCATCGGGTCCCCGCGGTTTCCCCGATTTCCGTTGGGGAACCCGTTAAGGGTAAAAATCCTCTTTTTCATCATTGATTATAACCGAACCCGAAACCGAAACCAATCTAAAAAAAATCACAATATGCTAATTTTCACAATTAAAAGTAAAATACAATTTTTTAAGATGTAAGTTTAAATGTTTCAAACATAATCGAACCAATTACAAACAATATATTAGATTACGATATATAACTAAACATAAATTCAAACATCATACAACTAAAATCACGATTTTAGAAAAATAAACTAAACTTTTTCGTGAACTTTATTTGGATTGTTTAGGTAAAGTGGATAAAAGTCTTTTAAATTTTAATGTTACTATTTTCTTTTAATGATATATATATATATATATATATATACATATCGGGCAGGGCCAGACCGGTGATCATCGTCCCCGCCCCCATCCCCATCCCCATCCCCGAATTTGTCTCCGATCCCCGCCCTGTCCCTGATAAGATGTTGCCGAACCCTGCTCGAAAATTTAGGTTTTCGGTTTTCACCATCGGTTTCGGGTTTTTTTTTTTTGTCATCCCTCGAAATACCGTAATAATTTTTAAAGCAAATTATATTAAAATATAATCATATTTCTTAATTTAGGGAACCAATTTATAAGACCATTATTTTATGGAATTAAATTATGAAACATTCTATAAACGTGTAAGAGTATGTAGAATTAAAATAAAGTCAACTTTCTATTCCTTTATATTTTAGTTCGATTTCATGGTTTTATCGTAACGGATGGTCCAAACTCAAAAAAATGACCCATCAAACACGAAGCATTTGTGATTGTGATCCCTGAAAAAGCAAAATATATTAAAATACAACAAAATTTATTTTAAATTCATATTTATTCGAATGATTTTTTTTTTCCAATTAATAAAACAAAGTTTTTATATTTTTTTTATTATATTCTACTGATTTGAACTAGTAAGCTGCTGATTTTGTAACATTTGATGATGTGGACTCCATTTATGAAATGTTTACGGAATAGTTAACGGCGAAGTGAAGAAATTTTTTGACCTCCACGTCAACAAATGTAAGATACTGATTTTTGATATATTTGTTGATCTTGATGTCGGTTTGGTTTTAGAACTAGTTTAAATCTTCATGATGATGGATTGCTTTTCTTTAATAGTTCCATTAAGAGATAATTTCTGAATCGTTAATAGGTTAATCTTGTTTGGCAAAATAAAAGTCTACCTCTTAATGGTTTTAAAATCATTTGAATGATTTTGTATCCAACGTCTTCTTTAACCATTCAGCACCCTAATTTCATTGTAAATAATTATCAGACAATTATATTTCATCTTGCAGTATATTATGAGAGGCTCTTAATCATTCCGACCACTTAATCATTCGACACCAAACCATTCAGTGATTGACAAAACAATCCCTAAAACCAGATAGAAGGGGGTGTTGATAGGAAAAATTATTGTAAATTGACTAAAATGTCCCTACAAGTTAAAGGAGCTAACATGTTTGCTTTAATGGGGTTAAGGAAAATGAACCAAAAATGTTGACAAATTATTTCATTTTAGGGACTTATAATGTGATTCTAAGTAAACCACAGGGACTAAGAATGTAATTTACTCAAACCAAATCAGAAGTCCGGTCCGACCGTCTTTCTTCTAGAAGCGCGTGAGTTGACTTGAAAAGGAAAGAACCGCCAACGGCTCCTCTATCTGTCCGTCTGGTCCTAATTTCCGCAATTCATCTCTACAAAATCCTGCAACATCGGATACGAATCGCACTTTATACAAGTCCTATTGAATCGTCACTGGTTGGATTTTGATTGGGGAAACCCTTATTTATAGGAGAAGGGTGACGAATTGAGTCCTAGGGTTTTCTATCATCATATATGGCGCAGAATCAAGGTGGCGGTGGTGGATTTTTTTCATCGCTTGCTTCAAGTTTTTCAAATTTTAAGAACCAAGTTAATGGGTAAAGTATTTTCGATGCTTAGTTTTCAGTGTAATTTTCAGCAACTGTGATGTATGCTTGAAGTGTGATTTTCATGGAGATATTGCTTAAACCGTGGGAGTACTGAAATTGAAGTTGTCTGTTTACGTGTTTTCACTACGTACTTGATTGATTAGATTTGAGCTTTATCGAGCTTTTTGACTTCATCTGTTATCTGTGTTTTACCTGATTGGTCTTATAGAAGGTTTGATTTCGATTAACTACGTGTAGAAACGGTTTGCTAGTGAATTACTTTTGAAGCTTATGAACTGCCAGTGTTAGTATAAATGATCAAATAGCACAAGTCTTATGCAGATATTGTTGATAATAACAGTCTTCACTTAGATTATAGACCTCCAGTCTCTTGATGTAAGTAAGATTTGTTAATTGTGCATGTCTAAGGAAAAGGAACTGATGGTTATCAAGAAGGAAGACATAGAGGCAAGGACAACTTTGTAAAATGTACAGGGGCAGTCTTGTAATTTTTGGTTAAGTCAGTTAGGATGGTTATAGAGAGGTTGTGGTAGTTGATTCGGTGTAATGCGAATACAAATAGTAGGTCAGGGGTGTTGGTGAGGGTAGACAATAATCAAGAAGAGAATGATTGGGAGAGTCAAAGTCTCTTGACGTGTTGGCCGATTGTAAGCAATCAACAATGTTCTTACTGAAGTTTTGAATTTGGATGAATAAAACGAACTCTGTGCATCAGTATGTTTTCATTTCCAACCCTGGCCGGCGCTGTGTGATCTATCTAGGGTCCACTCCTATGTACACCCTACCTCAAGGGGAATCTCTATGATAGAAAAACCCGTGCAAACATGATTCGGCATTTTGAAGATTCCAGTGTCTTTGTTAGCAAACTTTGGTATTTATGGACATAATTGCCTTCTTTCCTCCTAACCTAAACAAAAATCAACCATAGATCCTAACTTGACTCATGTGACTATAAACATCAGAACGTATTTGTGTTCTCCCCCAAAACCGGCTGCATTTAGTAGTACGTGTAATTTCATGAGTTTGAGCAAGTCAAATATCTTGCAATTCAGTGGATGATTGAGGAATTTGAAGCATGGCATTCACAGTCAGGTGTGATGGTGTCTATAAAATTACAAAACCCCAACAAAATAGAACCCTATTGTTCAAGATAACAATGAATTGTCTATAAACAACAATAATAATACATGATATTGAATTCATAATTCAAATAAGAATGAGTTTCCAAGTGTTGAATTGCTCTATCTTGGTGATCAACTTGACAACCAAATTCATGATGCGGAAGAAGATGAGAGTTTATTGGAATAAAAGATCTTAGAGCATCCACAATAGAGGTTTTTACAAGGTACAAGAACCTCATTGTTCTACTTTTTTCTTTATTAGCACCGTCTCAACAAAATACAATTCCCAGTAGAGGTTCGTATAAGAACCTCATATTCCACTTTTTATTTATAAATGATTATATAACTTAATTGTTTATTTAGTTATATATAATTATATAAATCTTATATATATATATATATGTATGTATATGTATGTATATATATATATGTATGTATATGATAAATTTCTAAAGCAAAATTCAAAGTACTAATTCTTAATATAGATCACTTGCAATCATGATTTGACCAAATATGTCAACCAAGGTATGAAGTTGATGATAACTTCATTGGATGATATTGAGAGTTTTCATGATTTTCAATATCGTTGATATTCTTTCCATTTTCTTGATGTAGAGAGGTGTGAGAAAAGAATGAATATGATGCTTCTATGTATAGCCAATGTGATATAATTTTTAATATTTACAAATATGTTTTATAATTATTAATTTACACTTTTTATATAATTTTGATTTATATAATTTAGAAGTATTTGAAAAATAATTCAAACATAAGCATAAAAACGAGATATATATGTACTTTATTTAATATATGGATAATCTTATAAATTTATTAACAGACTTAAAAATTAAACTTACTAAAACAAAATACATAGAAACTTGTATAAAAAACTACCAGAAGTGAAACAAAATTAATAAATACATATTATAATTAATAATTTACACTTTGTACATCAATTTCAATTTATATATCTAGTAAATATTTTTATAGACTTATTAAAACAAAATACAATAAACTGATAAAGAAACAATAATAGTACAATAAGTTCTTTAGGAACCCCAATTGTGGATGCTCTTAGAAGCTCTTATCAAGTTGGTGTTAATCCTCTTGGTGTTAACTTCTAGTGTAGAAAAAACTTTTTTGTGGATGACTACTGTGAAGAATAAGTTACACAATAGTATAGTTGATCAACTGTTTAGTTACTTATATAGAAAAAATGTATTCTCTAGAGTTAGTGATAATGATATTCTAGTTCACTTTCAAATCGTAAATTGATTTGGATGTATGTTTTGAATTATTAATTCTATATTGTGTGGCGTTAACGTTGTTTTTAAATGATTCATTGTTATCTTGAATTTTTATTGTTCTATTCTATTAAGGTTCTCTTTATAGACACTGGCACATCAGACAGTGCATACCCTGCTTCAGGTTCCTAGATCCAATACTGTCTGTAGAGTAACTTAACGTCTATTTGGAATATTTACATGCTTTTAATATGTTGTTCATATGGTTCTGGAGCTATAAGTTTGTTACATTAAGAAAAAGTTCTTTATTTGTGTTTGGATGGCAAATGGCTACTCACAAGTATACAAGGCCAACAAGTAATATAGTTCGAAGAACAAGATATCATGCCCACATAGACTGCTATATTCTTTCGTTTGTAAAAACTCAGTGATGGGAACCAAATACATTTCGGGAAATTAGAAGTTAAGAAACAAGAATATAAAGATATTAACAACTTAGCAATGCTAAGGATCAGATTCAAGTTGAGTGAACAAGCGTTTCGTCAACACGACCACACAACCACATAAATGGATGACTACACTGGCACAAAGATTTAACAATGATATCGGGTTGTGGATAAATGAGACTAAGTTAAAACAAGATCCCAGAAGTCATATTATGTAACTAAAGAAATCAATTGATGCAAAAGGCTGTCTTGGCTCACATAACACCAAGATGTCAATAATCTTTTGATCTTATTGACTCACTAACAACGCACCCATATTTCTATGGGGCATGTATTAGTGGAATATGAACAATGATGATATTCTAGATGCAAGAACCAATGTATCTCTATACTAGTTTAATTTATTGCTTCCACAACACATCTTGCAATTAATCATGAGCAATACCACCATTTCAAGTGAATGAACTAGGGGTGAGCAAAGGCGGGTACCTAGCCATAATTCATGGAACGGTCCCGGAACTGAACCAGCGGTTCTTGGAATGAAGGAATCGGAACCGGAACCGGTTACACCGGTTCTTTATATTTGGGCACCGGTCCCAGAACCGCATGGAACGGTTCCGGTACCAGTGTCTATTTTTTTTAATTTTATCATTTCATACTATAAAAAAGTAATTACTAGTCTATTACAAAGTACCGACGTAAAGAAATAAATACTACAAATGGTGAGATCTAATCCGATAAAAACTAATAATTACATAAATAATTTGATAGAAACTCTTGATAGCAGCGAGAATTGATTCAACTCTTAAGGAAGCGGCAGTAAGTGTAACAAAATATATCATTAAAAAGTCTTCGTCAAGACAATTAAAAATGGTGTATGTAGTTTCCAATTTTTATTTTATACCTTTTCCACATTATTTATATATTCTTATGATACGTCTCAGCCCGACCCACATTGGGATCGTATATATTTGCGTCGCAAAAGAGAGGCAGGAAACAAGTAGAGGGGGGCTGTTTGCAATTTACTTATTCTTAATTATCTTAATTAGTTGATTAGGATAGATATTAATTAGTTTATTAGGATAAATATGTTTTCCTATTTTTTAGGATTAGGGTACGGCTTTATTTAAGGGACCGGCCACCCCGTTGTTTGGATTCATTCTAGTATTTTGATTCTTGTTATAGACATTGGAGATTACTGGGTCTCGAATTCTAGGGTTTATTTTAATAAGCATCCGATTAGTGGTACTTTCGGCCGCTAATCTTGATTTTTCCAATTGATCCATATCAAATTGGTATCAGAGCATCGATCTTGCGCCTGTGATTTTATCCACGCTACCATGACCAAGATTCAGGATCTTGAAGCTGAGTTGACCCAACAGAAGGCTGCCGTCGAACAGTTCCGCGCTGAGACGACGGAGCGGTTCGAAAACTTGGAGACCACCGTGGAATCGTTGCGCACTGAAACGGAGAAGCGACATGCGGAGATGATGAAGGTCATGTTGCAACAGTTCCAGGCGTTAAAGCCGCCACCACAGCCGACAGCAGCCGTGCCATCGCCAATCTTCAACGATTGCACCACACGGCCCATAATGCAGCAATCGAATCCGATTTTTGACGAGAATGGGGCGTCCCTGCCGCCTTGGCATGCAACCAGCAGTACGACCAGGGAACCGAACAGGCCCATCGGCACTCAGGAAATTCCTTTTCCGGAGTCAGGTACGTTTGCTTTTTCTGAGACTGAAAGGCCGTTTGGCAGCGGGTATGGAAGGGGCTCAGGACCTTCGGGGGAACGGGGGTGGGTGCCGGGGACGGACTACCGTCTTCGTAAGCTGAAGATGCCGTTGTTCGATGGAATTGATGTATATGGGTGGGTGTACCTCATGGAAAGATTTTTCGACGTTCAGGGATTTGTTACTACGGGGGAGAAGTTGAGAGCGGCGGTGTTGGGGTTGGAGGGACAGGCCCTTGCATGGTACCGATGGAGTGATTATAGGCATCCTTTTCGTCACTGGGAAGGATTAAAAAACYGGTTGTTGGCKCGGTTCYAGTCATCTCAGGAAGGGGACCTATACGAACAATTTTTGGCAATTAAACAGGAAGGGTCGGCACGCGAGTATATAGGGAAATTTGAAATAGTATCGGCAYAGCTAAGGGGTATTCCTGAGAAGATCATGCARGGTACATTCCTAAAAGGGTTGAAACCGGAGCTACGAACTTCCGTGAGGTTGCTTCAACCAATGGACTTAGACCAGGCGATCCAACTAGCTCTGATGGTGGATGAAAATAAAACTGTCAGCAACGAGAACGTGGAAAAAGGGGAAAACAAAAGTCAGCCAGTGCGGACCGGAGTGGGGGGATCACGGCCGCTGGCCGCCCCACCAACGGGAACCCAACGACCGACAACAGGGGGTAACGAGCAGCCGTTTAAACGGATGACAGACTCGGAACTGGCGGATAAACGGATTAAGGGCTTATGTTTTCGATGCGATGGGAAGTTCACACCCGGACACCGTTACCCCGAGAAAGCTCTGCGGATCATGTTAATGGATGATGAAGATGACGAAGGGGAAGAGTTAACACCGGAAACTCACGCACACTCGGATGCGGTGGAGCTGTCAGTACACTCAGGTGGTGGAGCAGTTCCCTGCCTTTCACCTTGAGGACAAGGTGACTTTTCGAGGCGGGAGTAATGATACGTCTCAGCCCGACCCACATTGGGATCGTATATATTTGCGTCGCAAAAGAGAGGTAGGAAACAAGTAGAGGGGGGCTGTTTGCAATTTACTTATTCTTAATTATCTTAATTAGTTGATTAGGATAGATATTAATTAGTTTATTAGGATAAATATGTTTTCCTATTTTTTAGGATTAGGGTACGGCTTTATTTAAGGGACCGGCCACCCCATTGTTTGGATTCATTCTAGTATTTTGATTCTTGTCATAGACATTGGAGATTACTGGGTCTCGAATTCCAGGGTTTATTTTAATAAGCATCCGATTAGTGGTACTTTTGGCCGCTAATCTTGATTTTGCCAATTGATCCATATCATCTTAACATTCAATAAATTACATAAACTAATCAAAATATAGAAATCATATAAAAATAATATTTTGAGGACAGTAGAGCATAAAATACAATAAATTAAATTTAAAGAAATGAATTAAATGTAAAGAGGGAGGTGAATTTGATTTTTTAGAAGAGAATTAGGTTGTATTTTGAGGTTATATTGGTAAAATATAGGTGTATTTCACTTTGTTCCACCTTGTTCCATGGGATGGGGGTGGAACATGCCTGTTGCACTCTGTTCTTGTTTGTTCCACATAAAATTCCTGCCAAATGTGGAACGGTGATCCCTGTTCTATCATGTCCTGTATACCAAATGCACCCTAACAGCTCTTATCCAACTTGTCCAATGGTCCTTCACACCAGAAATATCTGCAGCAATCCTCCAGCTTTACAACACTTTTGAGTTCTAATTAGTGCAAAAAGATACTTTAGTGTAAATGCTACAGCATCCACCCAGTTACTGCATCAACGGAACTCAAATTTGAAATCAGCTCCGGGAAAACAAAATGAAGAAGAACCACACAAAGTAGAGGACAACCTAACTAAAAAAAATCCAAGCAGGTTCTCCTCTGTTCTTTAAGGTAGATGGGATTCATCAATCCGATATACAAAATGGAGGGAATGGATCTTAACCAGAAATATGATACATTGTCGCAGCTGGTTGATAGCAGCCGCCGTAGAGATTGTAGGGGTTGAAATAGTGTAAATTACACTAAATCTTAGTGTTATCAACTGGTTATGCAGATCGATCTGGTAGTTTCCCTTTTGTGTATTCTCTGTATCTCAACCTCCAGGTATATACTCCTAATCCCCTCCAAATGTGTGTATACATATCAAAATCTATCCACCTGTATATACCCAAAATAGAGTCAGTATATCCTTCTCCTTGTATTCAACTCCAATAGAGTATAAATCAAGAATTGCTTTAGTTCCCCTGCCAAGCACAAGAAAATCCAATTTAGCTCTATGTAACATGCAATATAGTCTATTTACGATTTAACTCAACACCAAGGATAAACATACAACTCTTTACACATTTATACACTTCTAAGCATAAAATTCAAGGCCAGAGCTCAAATATAGGGGTAGAGTATAACAAAAGAAGCCAATTATAGTCCATTCAAAGAACTATTAAGCAATTTGGTTGTGATATTTGGTAATTAAATGATATTCTTGCTCTTTTCTTCTCCCAAAATTGGCATTGCTGTTCGTCATGTTAGTATCTCTAACTTAGCATATTACCAGCTAAGTTATGACATGGACTTATATCTAGTTTTTAGCATCTGCTCTTTCTGCATTGCTGCCATTAACTGTTCCTGGTTATATGTCCCAAAGCTTGAATATTCTTGTTATATCTTTTGAGTAGATATAAGATTAGACCATTTGTAGCATGGACTATTTACCACAAAGGTCATATGTGCTCAGTTATTTGGATTCACCTATATACATATATATTTTTCTTCTGCAGTTTGCTTGGTTATGAGGGGCTAGAAGTTATAAATCCTGAAGGAGGCACGGAAGATGCTGAAACTGAAGCACAAAGAGGCAGATGGAAGCAGGAGGTGCAGTAACTTCTTATCTTTCATACAATTTCATGATTTATAAATCTGTTGACTTGTTTTGCTGTCACTTCATACTGATTCAGAAGATGCTATTTTTCATTTGTATTTATAGTAGGCTTATACCACATTTACGCAATTCAAGAAAATAGAAATTGATTTGATACTGGAGCAAATTGCTGCTTGTGTGTAAAGTTTATGTTTGCTCTCATTTTAACTGTAATCCTGTGTTCTCTGTATTCGGTGTCTTTTTATTTATTTGTGTCACTGTTCAGTTATCTTGTGATTAGTGGACAGCATATAATTTTATTCATAGTTCACATTACGTTGTAATTCAGAAGGGTTCTGATCCCTGAATGAGATGGGGAGAACTGGAACCCTCTCTTCTGAGACCCTGACATGCATATTTCAAATGCATTCTATCATCTGATTTCTATGTATTTGTTATCGGTGTTCCATGAGTCTTTATACTTTTCTTAGTGCTCGAGTTCAGTTAATAGTGTATGATATGGTGATACCAATTCTTTTCAACTACAAATTGTGGAAACTGTTTTATATTAGTTTTATACTACCTAATACTTATGATTCAAAATTATGGAATTTTGTTTTCTCTTTTGTCTTAGTTTTTGTTTTAGTATCTTCCATTTGTACTCATAAATCCCTCAAAAGTTACTATTTTTCTTGAGGTCATGTCTCCAGTTAGTTTGATAAAGGCTGTGTTGCTCTTCCTGTATGTGATTGATATTCAAATTCTCATTATATGTTCTATAGTCACTGTGTCTGTCATGTAATGGTTTAACAATTTTTAATCCTTTCATCATCTACTGATATTTACTTTGAACCTCATATTTATTGTAGGATCGTGATAGTTACTGGAAGATGATGCAGAAGTATGTAGGTGCTGATATCACGTCAATGGTGACTTTACCCGTACTCATATTCGAGCCCATGACAATGCTGCAGAAAATGGCAGAGGTTTGTCGTCATCACCTACAATTTCTACGTGCTGCTTGTACACTTATTGAGTTGCTAGTAAGATGCTACACGTTTTTTCATAGTTGATGGAATATTCCCACCTCTTAGAACTAGCAGATGAATGCGAGGATCCATACATGCGATTAGTCTATACTGGTATCTCTTTCTCTTTCTTTCTCTCTCTCTCTCTCTCTCACACACACACACAAAAATATGCATACCACAAACTGTCTTCTCTCTTGTGTATGTTTCCACAAGCATTTGGTTGCTAGGTGGTAATGATGGTTTTTCTGTTACAGCATCATGGTTCATATCAGTATACTATGCGTTGCAACGAACCTGGAAGCCATTCAACCCAATTCTTGGTGAAACCTATGAAATGGTTAATCATTGTGGCATAACATTTATTGCAGAGCAGGTAATAATTTAAATACCCCATATACTTTAGGGTGACTTTTGTTTCTCATATGTTTGATATCTGTATATGGTTTCTATTAATATTTTACTAAAATAAATTTATATGAAGAGGAGGGGAAAATATGGCTCCAACCGGTTGGTGGGAGGGGAAGAGAACACAGTATAGTTGCTATTTCTATTTGTCACCTACTTGCTTGTTTGCTTTACCATCACTTTGTCTTTAGTTAGTTTAGTGGTTTTGTACCTTCCCATATGCCTTCAAGGTCCTTGTTTGCTTTTTTATTTTTTCTTGTGCTTTCTCTTCAACTCTTCCAAACCTTTTCTCTTTCATTTATTTTTTTCTATTTCTTTTCTTTCAAAATTTTGTAAAACTCTTGGGATTCACAGGGTTCATTTGGTTTGGTTTTACTAATTTGAGCAGGACAAACACATGAAAGAGGTGGTTGGTGATAGAATAAGTAGTCTAAATCAGTTTTTTGATATTTCAACTCACCGCTATATACACTTAAGATATTAATATGACCTGAATGACATGAAATCTTGTATTTCAAATTTTTGCTCTTCATATCTTCCCACCCCACCTCTTCTACCTGGCATAGCCTACGAACATGAGAATGCTTAAGTTTGACATGAGATTTCGTCTTCACTAATATTATTTTTTTTGGCATCTTTCTATTATCCCCATATTGGTATATCTTATGAAGTGACTGATACATCTATTTAAATCAGGTTAGTCACCACCCTCCAATGAGTGCTGCACATGCTGAGAATGAACATTTTGTTTATGATATAACTTCAAAAGTGAAGACTAAATTTCTTGGTAACTCGCTTGATGTGTATCCTCTTGGAAGGTAAATAGCTCCACTATGGTTTCTTGTGCTCATTTGGATAAAAAGATGTTGCATTTCTTAATTTTTGAGATTTGATAGGGTTTTATACTCCTTTCAAGTACTGTAGCTTCCTATTACACGCTCCGGCTTTTTATGAGTTCTGTAGGTTTTTGTACTATGCTTTTAATTCTAAACCAACATGGATATAAACCAAAGCTATGAACATTTTGTAACCAACTGCATATAAACCAACATATGATATAAACTGAAACTAAGAACATTGGTATTTGTTTAATTAGTATTTGCATATAGACCAACGTGGAGGATGTTTCCTATCCTTCAGATTGCATATAATATCCCTTTTAGTGGGACGAATTAGAATTTTGGTGTTCCTTCACATGCCTAATTGGTGAGCTACAAATGTAGCTTATTTTTAACACAAACAATTACTCAAATAATTTTGCATCAGTAAGATTTCACTAAAACCTAATTGAGTTACAAGTCATTGCACCTCATTGTAATATTTATTTGCTATCAGCTGTGCAATCTAGACATACGCTACCTGAATCATTTGATCAAAACTACAAAACTGACTCAAGTTTCATCGACCACGATCATCAGATTAGCAAGTAAAGGTCTCTTCTTTAGCTCTTGACATGACCCCCAACCAACCTTATCTGCAGCAAAATCTCTTAGCTACTTACTCTTTTGGGGAAATATGTATATATATTCTAGTCTTATGTGGTAGTATCTGTGGGAGGTGTTGAAGGATCATGACGGTATTTATGCTTACTTTTCTGACAATTTTGTGTGCAGAACACGTTTGAAGCTAAAGAAAGATGGAGTGATCCTAGAGCTGGTTCCCCCTCCCACCAAAGTTAATAATCTAATATTCGGAAGAACATGGGTTGATTCTCCAGGGGAGATGGTTTTGACCAACTTGACTACAGGCGACAAAGTTGTGCTATATTTTCAACCCTGCGGTTGGTTTGGGTGTGTGTCTCCCACTTTGCTTTCTCACTGCCTTTTGTGGTGCAAAACCTCCTGCTTTTTGTTGTTAATGCAAGTTGAGAAACATGTCTAGCTTCCGCCCATTCTTTTTCTTTGTTCATATATGCAAATACAATCGCTTAAGATGTGCTTTTGAGTAATATAACCTTCAAGAGGAATCTTCTTCAGATTTCAAGAAAATGTTCATTTAGTTTGGGGCAGAGTTGTTATGTATTAAGCCTATGAGTATGTTCTAGAGTATTTTTGCTCAATTCTTTAAGTAAATATCTATTCTGTATCCTGTATGCAATTGTGATTAACATTACTCTCAATTCACATCTTTTGTGAAGGGTTGTTTTTAGTGAAAACCTGAAATTCTTTATCTGGCTAATTGGAGTGCGTCTGCAACAGCTACATACTCAACTGTAAATAAATGAGTGACTAGTTTCCGAAGTGCTATTGTGAAAGGACTGATAGTTTTATATAAATGTATCTGGGGTACTTAGCCTAATGTATGTATTTTTTGTGTTTGATTGTAGTGCTGGTCGCTATGAAGTGGATGGATATGTATATAACGCCTCTGAAGAACCTAAGATATTGATGACAGGCAAATGGAACAAGTCCATGAGCTATCAGCCTTGTGATTTGGAAGGGGAACCCCTTCCAGGCACGGAACTGAAAGAGGTTAGCTTCTGTTACTAAATTTGGCTACTGGTTTTATTTCTTATTACTGCCAGTGATTTAACACTGTAATAAACCAAACGAAACAAGCCCAGTATATCCCACCTGGAGGTGGGTTCCCCCGCACGCCGCAAGGGGGGGCGTATACACACCTGATCTCGAAAAACCCTCGTTTTGTGCAAAGTGTGCGAGAAGTAACAATAGAACACGATAAAGAAGAATCTAAAAACTAGTGCTAAATTTTTGAAAAGCGAGTTAGAAGAAGCAACAACGTTGAAACACACAAACAAATAAAACATACAAATAGAGCAGGTGCAAGAAATCATAACAAAGGTACGAAGACCAACACACACAAGTCTGACCTAGGCCTCAGGAGGCTTATCCTTTTTACACTATGATGTGTATCCAATAATTCTAGTATGTTTGTCTGTCTGGTATGCTTGTTTTGTATATGGAGAGCTACTACATCATGATATGTTATGCGCCAAGCTATATGCATATTGGCACCGATTATTTTTCATATGCCATGTTGATCATGGATCCTAGGTGAGCCTTCACTTTACCAAGACAACAAGTGTTCTGTTAAATTCAATTATGAAATAACCGCCGAGAAGTAGATGAAAATGTGTAAAGTTGATTGTTAGTTGTTACATGGAACTTACAAATGGTACACGCTTCATATATGTTGACCTTGTCAACAAAGAGCTGATACCAGATTTGATAATGATGTTAGGGAAAAATGCAACAAAGTTTGCCTTAGTTCCTATTTGTAGTGTAACAAATAATTTTTTTTTTCAATAAATGTAACAAAGTTCCAAAAATTTGCTATTTAATGTAACAATGTTTCAAAATTTCTAAATTTTTACCCAATTTGGCTGGTAACCTACAGATCTTGTAACATTTGACGTGGATATCAAGCTTATCATCCACTTGGTCGTAACCCTTTTAAATTTTCATAAACCTTTCATATATGGGTATCGATGTCATCAAATGTTACAACATCAACATCAAATTTCCTTAGTTCATTCCAATAAAGAAGAATTATACCTAACTTTGTTATGTTTTGATGCATTTTGCACATGATGTTATTATGTCTAGTTGGACAACATGTTACTGATTCTTTTCACATAAATATTTAAGGCGTCCCTGGAAAAACCACAATAACCTTTTTTGTTTCAAGTAATATTTACCAATTTGTGTTCAGATGCTGAAAGGCATTGGATCTGAACTTCTGCTTTAGGCTGTTCGATGGAATTGACCACTTAAGCTTTAGGTGTTGAAGTTCATGCCACTATAATGCAGGAGTTCTATGCATTTAAAATGGCGATCTGTCTAAAATATGCTAATTGCACTGTTAATATATACATATGGAATAACTAACTGGCTGATGTTTGTCTTTTGAAGGTTTGGAGAGTTGCCGAGGCTCCTGCAAATGACAAATTTCAGTATACACATTTTGCACATAAAGTAAACAGTTTTGATACAGCACCAAAGAAACTATTGGCATCAGATTCTCGCTTACGTCCAGATAGATATGCGCTTGAAAAGGGCGATCTGTCTAAAGCTGGTTCAGAAAAGAGCATGTCTCTCTCTTTCTCTATTTCTCTCTCTCTCTCTCTCTCTCTCTCTCACACACACACACACATACCTTGGAGCATGGGTGAAAGCCTAATACAACGTAAGACTTACCGAGTGTATCAGGCTTTACTCTGTTCTTTGGTTCTTGGATCTTTTTTCCCATGAAAATTGCAATATTTCAAATGGTATATAAAGTTTGGGAGAAATGGTTTGACCGTTAATCATTTCTCAAGTACCATACCTTTTGATAATGATAAAAATATGAGAATCTTATAGTCCCAAAATGATATCGTTGATTTCTTTTTTATGATGACATGGGCAAGGAAGTCGTTATACATTAAAAACTCGCCAAAAGTTGAAATTATTGTAGTTTTCATGGGACATTGGTTTTTCATTTTCGTTACTCCAGTCATCTTAAAATAAAAAAATTCAATTGATTGCTGGTAACTATCTTATGGTCCTTACATATTTATGCACCATTGGAAATGTTAGGATGATGCGGTGGAACTATTACCAAAGTTCTCTTCATTTGTGAAAATGTTGCATGTTACTTATTGTTTTTGGTTATTAAACATTTTTATGAAAATAGCACAAAAAGAAGGTAAATTGCTCGTCGACCTGCAACTATTTGTCTAGACATGATCCATGTGGGCGCTGTGGGGTTCGGTGAATTCAATAATGTATGCCTGGTGGTGTTCTGGCCATTTGTTCGCCTTTCATGGCCACATATCTTTCCAGCCAAGGAAAGGGAAATGTGGTTATGGGTCTCACGTGTATGTCGAGGGATGGTTAAAATGAATGGGTCTCGAGAAAACTTTTCACGGACATTTCAGTATTTGAGGTGATAAACCTCTAAAACAGCGTAAAATTCACATTGTGCAATCTAATGTTTTGTGTTCCCTTTTTTGTAGTCTGGAGGAGAAACAAAGAGCTGAGAAGAGGGCCCGAGAGGCAAAAGGTCAGGAATTCAGTCCGAGATGGTTTGAAATAACCGAAGAAGTCGCTCCAACACCTTGGGGTGATCTGGAAATTTACCAATACAACGGGAAATATTCAGATCACCGAGCTGCAGTTGATAGCACCAGCACTTTTGAAGATGTTGACATCTCCACAACGGAGTTCAACCCATGGCAATACGGAAACGTTGCTGAAACCGAACAAAAGAGCTGAATTAGAGGCATTTTATGTGTTGGCAGCTTGACGTAATTGGTGATTCTTTAAGTTCATGTTTGTATGGTTTTTTAGATGATGCTAAATTGGAGGCATTTTGTGCAAGTTTAGTTGTGCATTGTTATGTATTTGTATTGTTTGTTTATTGGGTGTTTGGAATATTTAGTATGCCGATTGGACCATCAAATGGATCGAAAACGTGTGGTTTTATTGATCTAAAAGTAGAGCTAAAAGAACCTTTTCGATCACGAATGTATCTTCAACAATGAGGGTCATTTTTTGAGCTTGTTAGTTGATAGAAAAGCTGACACGAGTTCATTGCTTCTACTATTGGGTGAAAAACGAAACCCGAATGAAAGTGGGGTTGTTTATCAAACACTTACTGTAAGCGTTTACAATAAAATTTATACACTATCATTTACTTATAAGGTAAGATATTAGTCCACCAAAATGGCATCGTATGTTTCAATTTGCCCACTTAACCCTGACCCAATAGAACCAGGAAAGCATAACACCTTTTGTAGTTCCCCTCGGCCGGCAAGCATCTAGCTGGCGAGGAGGGAAGACTAACTAGCTCTCCCGTAGATGTAAAGCCGCTCGCTGTAAGCGTTGACAGTGGTAAGAGTCGTCGCCCTCACTTACCGGGTAAGACTCTTGGTTCTTCTATGACTCTTACTGGGTAAAATTCTTGGTCATTGTCATATTTATCCAGTAAGGTAATATGACTTGGTAAATATTTATCCGGGTAAGCATTCGGTAAATAACCCCTAAATATACTGGTATATCTCACCTAGAGTAGGGTCTTAATGAAGTGATGGAGAAACTCAAGGGTTGTTTACCAAAAATGAACCAGGTAAGTGCCTTATTAGGACACTTAATGAGTGAGAATGATGAGGACCCGAGAATCTTATTTTGTAAGTGACGATGATAACTCTATAGATTATTAGTGCTTATCAATATTTTTAATAATGTCATTTTGATGGGCAAGAATCTTACCTAGAAAATAAGTGAGGATAGTAACTTTTAGGCCAACTCTGTGGCCACGGAGATTCAAATATGGTGACTCCGGGTAGGGGTGTTCAAAAAAACCGCCGGACCGCTCAAACCGGCCGAACCAAGTCAAACCG